GCGCAAGTGTTCTTGCTATAGGTAATCATTAAGTATAATCGATCTTAATATGTTCAATCCTACATCGAAAAATGACGCGATGGCGATGCGATAATATGCAATACTCCGAGTAGTTGTAGGCATATACGCGTCTTCAGCAGAACACTTGCAGTCGGTTATGATTTATGAATTATGATTGTACAAGGTATACCGCGATATTTCGTTTGTATAGCGATAAATAAATAAAATATTGTAGTGCAGTCATGCGCATGACGTCAAAATCGTCATCGCACGCGCGCGTTATATCTAGACTGCGCCGCATTATTTAATAAATAATAATAATATAAGATTATGGACGTTATAGTATGTATGTACTTACCTATGGTGTCGAGTCGTACCTCGAAGATGAAAAATCGCTCGAAACCGCCCTATGTCGATATCGTATAACATGCATAATATAATTTACGCATATGTGCATGTATAACATATAATATGAATAACTCGTGATGCAAGGTGCAAAGTGCAAAACTATATGCAGTCAAAAAAAGTCACAACAACTAAACTAACCTATATATATAGGCGGCTAAACGACAGCAATACTTGCGGCTGCTACGCGGAGAGCGGATAATGGATATAATAATATTAATCTGATATAAGCCTCGCATCGAATCTCGCGGTGCAGTCGGCGTGCATACAACTGCACCGTGGTCGACGAAATATACACACATAATATAAGCAGCATATTCACACACGGTCAGCACTAAGGAATTCACAAGTAGTGATGAGTTGTTATAATATGGTAGGCATACATTGTTCGGTATATCGTCAAATAAGTGTAAATCTAGTTGTGTAGTACGGTCAAGTGTGATTTTAAGATTTAAGTAGGCGTTTCATCACGGCCTCGCAAACATCTACTGCAGAAAACACAAATCAAAAGTGCACTGTTTTGTTTTTATTCAATCGCTCTGTATGTATTTATAATATTTATGAACGTTGATATACAGCCGAAACCGCCACACCTGTAAGTTATACTGGATTATATGTATCCGTTTCCCGTGCACATGCGGATGGGTATAAATGTCGATATCCGGTATTTTATACTTAGAGGTCCCGCACGTGGCACGTGGCGATATTTAGATAAAAATAATGCATTTTTTTTCAGAAGTTGGCTCTCGAAAACCGAGTCAAAGGCGCCGAACACAAACATTGCGACCGGATTTCATATTTTTTTTTATTATTATTATAGGTCACGTGTATCTCCGCTCCTATCGCCTCGCAACATATTTTGTTTTTATTATTTGCGCAGACCAGTATTATAATATAATACCAATACATAATTTATAATATAGTGCGTGTATACGTTGTATACCATATGTCATACTCTCGTGGTTTTAATTATTTCGAAATTTTGGGTGTACTTTTTTCCCCGTCTGCACATATTTTTTCATGTATTATAATTAGTACCTACAAAAATGCTTAGAAGGCTCTATATACTACGACTACCTCTATGGTTATAATTTCATTCGATTTTTTTTGTCTCATTTCCGATGTAGATGAACATATCATGTTACATATATGTATGTATACATGTACATTGTACATATACGTACTATGCACAAATTAGCAAGTAGATTTCGAGAACAACACAGCTACAGTTGGTACCCTCACATCTGAGTTATCTATCCTGTTGCGGTCACTCGGAAAAACCTTAAGCAGCGTAGGAAGAACCCGTGTCCGGCCCGAAATTCTTATTCCCGTACCTTATGCCCACTAAAGATAATTATATGTTATTTTACGATATTATATAATATGATATTCCGCACACGCTCGAAAATGACGACAACGAAGATAATACGCATTTCCGCCGCGCACGAGGGCTAAGGGGGTCATCTACCGCCGCACGGCGTGGCACCTGTTGCACACGTCGTCCGTTTCCTACGAATTATCATAATATTATATTATATGCGCCCGCAATTACATACGCATATTATTATATTATACGCAACGCTTACAATAGAAAATCGCTCCAGGGCGGTGCAGCAGCAGCAGGAGCAGCTAGCTGCGAGGTGTGGAGCAGCAGCAGTAGGAGTATTAAATGAGACGCACACGCGCAGGAGAACATCTGGTAAGATTCGGGCTCGTCCTCCGGTTGACTTTTCCGACGAGAAATCCGCGCGGGCAATCCGCCGCGGCCGTTCCGAAAAATCACCGTTTCCGGTCCGGTCGTGATGTTTCCACCGGAAACGGCGCTACAAAGTCGAAAAACCACGAAAAAAAACTTTCGCAACGCGCACGCACGGTCGGTCATGCGTGGGCTAAATCTTTTTTCACCGCGTGTGGGCACACTGGTTTCAAGTGTAACACACTATTTGAAAACTTCCCGTCGACGCGGGCCGCGCGCTGGTGGGCGTCTGCGGCGCTCACGTAATTATTGTTGTGCGGACGGACTCACCGGTAGTGGGCGACAATAATATCGGACATGAATAAGAGTGTGTGTGTTTGTAGCCTTCTATACGTATATATTATTATTGTATTACGATCGTATGAGGCGTGTGCGAGTCTGTATATCGACGCGTCGCCACTGCGAATTGGGAAACAAAATTAAAGAGAAAAAATATGTGTACATACTCGTATATAATATGTAATAGGTACGTATTTAGGTGTATTGTATACAGACACACGAAACGACCGATGATGACGACGACGTCCCACGTCGTCTCACACGCCCAAAATTTCGAAAAATAAAATAAAAAGTTGCACGGCCGATGTACACGTCATTTTCGGATTTCCGATCTAGTGTTTTTATCACAACGCGCATACGAAACTCTTTGGATAATAATCGTCCCTCATCGTGCAGGAGTAACGTTCAGGATTCTTCATTATTATTTTTAAATAATGTTACCACTTTAAAGCGTACGAGGGACTCTGCTGCGTAGAGTGTGTCTTAAGGACGGCAGGTGGGTACAATTTTAAAACATTACATTATAGTCATTTTTTGTTTTATTGTCGCTTATAATATATAAATATTATATTACATAACATAATATATTATGTACTCACAGTTGATCGTAATGACATATATAATAAATATATATATGCAACGCATGAAGTATATATATATATATTGCAGCGTATATTATGTATATTACAATTATATTATTTTACCGATAAATATCACAGACTTGATAACAATGGTCTATAATAATAGGTATATATATATTATAATGATGTGTAGGTAACACCTATATAATAAAATTCGGACTAGACCAAATGACGTATTTTGCTACCGACAATAACGATTATGTATAAAGTTATAAAAGGCACTGTTCTTGTTTTTCTCTCTTAAACGTATAAAAATATGTGTATATATTATATCACAATATATGCATAAAATTTTCTCTAAAATATCTTACCACAATAAATTAAAAATATATAATATATACGAAAAATAATAAATATATAATATACAACGTTTCGATTTTTTTGGTTTTTTTGTACAAAATAATAATTAAAAATAATACTATATAAATATATATATATAAATAAAAAAAACAAAATAGTTTCATATTTACACGAGTACAAGACGAGAGAGATAGAATGAGGGAGAGAGCTAATAAATACGCGTAATTACACATGATTACCGATAACTGCAGTTTTTTTTTTTTATTCACGATTATTTATTAATTTTTTTATTCTTTATTCGTTTCTTAATCGTTACGCGATCGCAGCGTGTACCGCCGCCGCCGTTCTCACGACCTACGCACCACCGATGCCGCGCCGCTGCTTACCGATCCCGGGCACGTATTCGATATTATTATTACACTTTATTATAGTATCGTTATATAGGTACAATACGGCGCGGTCCGGTTTTTTCGATTATCGTGAAACGTAATAAATCCATGGCGATCCGTGCCCGTTAATCCCGTGGGAAAACCAAACGGGGCGGCGGTGTTGGCGAAAACCGTCCGGGAAAAACGTAATAATCGCCTGGGTCGCCGTCGCAGCTACGGCAGCAACCGGTCCACGCGCGTAGGCATAATACTACGATCGTTGCGACCAGCCGTCGCCGCCGCCTACGCACGTGCCCGCCGCCGCCACTACCGCCCACGCATAGCCAGCGTTTTTATGTTTTTTAATAATAATAATAATGACGAAGACGGTAATTGACCAATCATCGGCGGACCCCCTATATTTGTCACCAGACGTACCCCCCGCGGACGACCAGACGGCGGTGTGATGCACGAAAATATTTTTAAAAATGTTCGGACGATTTGTATTATTTGTATTCACCTCCTCCCCACCACATCCCTCAACTGGACGGCGAACAAACGTTTGACAACATCATGCAGGGCTACAGGAGACCGAAAGCAGAACGCCGTATGAAATGCTACAACCAATTTTTTTTTTTTTTTAAACATTCGGGACGGTGATGATAAAAAATAATTGTACTTTCGATTTTGAACACGACCCGGCAGTAGTAGAGTTCTATTACAATATAAGCGATTTATTTAAGCTCATATCATATTTATAAACTACAACACAGCAAAAAATAAAAACATAACACACAAAGCGAAACACACTGCAATCAAACGCGGACGAATAGGATTTGCCTACGCTGTATACGTTGGCATGACAATGTTCAGTTGAACTCATTGCCGGGGATAATCGCATGGTAATTGCATATTTTCTGGTGATATTATATTATAATATATTTCTACTTGTACAGACATAATATGGTTCAGTCTATTTTAATTTTTTTTCAAAATTTGCTATCCCGTCAATGTTGGTTCGACTGAACATTACCGTTGGTTGTGTGAATGGGATGCCATGTGAGGATATTGGTGTAATGGCAGCGGGGAAGTGCACTGTTGCTGATAGTTGGCCGTGTGCATCAGCGGGCTGGGACTAGATGAGGGTATGAGATGAGCAGGTGGGGACATGGCCATGATGTGTTGGGGATGGTGTTGCTGATGGTGTGGATGGTGGACAGGACTCTGTTGGCCGTACACAAACTGCCTTACTTTGGAATCGTGGTCGTCACCAATGTTGTATGACAGGTCGGTCTCCTCGAATCCAGTTGCTGACATGCGTTGGTCTCCTGAGTTTGCACCTGATGAAGACGGGCACGGGTCTGGTGAATTTAAGCATGTTTGTATAAGCGCTTTGCCAGCTTCAGAAGTAATCATCGGCTGTAACTTGCGTGTGGCAAACGTATACACATGCCCTGTTTCAGATGCTACTAATAGCATCACTTGAGTGCCTGTTAGTGTTGACAACTCATATGCCTGTAAAGGAACAAAAATCATATAATAGATGAAAATTACACAAATGATAAAAAATAAATTAAGTAAATATTTATCACAGTATTTTAAAATAAATAATGTATCTAATATTTTATATAATCAAGTCCAAATTTTGAAACTAATATTATTAGAAGCATCGAGTATCAAAAGGTACTAAATAAACAGTAATAATAAAAATATACCTAATAATTTTAACATTTAAGTGAATACATTTAAAACACATTTCCTGTATTCAGTTAACAAATCTAATACCTTTGTTGAGTTTGTTTATGAAAAGGAATAAATATTGCACTGTAATGAAATAAGTAGTGACATTTTTTATAGGACTAAGAATTATATAGTATCATTCATGATTCATGTCAACCATAGATGATTTAAATGTTAGCTTGAATAAATATAATACAATTGTTCAAAACAAATAATGCAAATGTAAACTATTGACAGTTATTCAATTGACTTTGGAATGTTTAATATTAATTAACTGTGTTGAGTAATAAATTATGCTAGCAAATTCCTATATAAGACTACCTATAGAATATGACATTTAAATCACTGACTAAATTATTATTCTAATAGAAAATATTAATAATTACCTAATATAAGTGTAAGAAACTATTCACCGATAAAAATCAGTTTCAGTGTAAGAAAATAAATATTATAGGTTTCAATACAATAAAAAAAGCTGACCTAAATCAATGGTCTGGTTGTAAAAATATATTTATCATCATAACAGAAGTATGCTTGAATTTTTACCTACTAATCTTTATTTTTTTTATCAAAATAATAAATAAATTACACTTTCTACTAGATACTTAGGTACATAATTAATTTTTATTTAAATATTTAAATGGTAATAATTAATGATAATAGGTATTTCTGAGGGTATTTTTTACTTTTTTACTTTATTACCTACCAAAGTAGATAAGTACAAAACTTAATATAATGTATATTAAATAGGTACAGGTGAAGTATCTGGGTACTGAAATGTAAACAAATCCTTAATTTTTTTCAAACTAAGTTTTATAGTTATAAATTAATTTACTGAATATAGGTAATGAGTTAACAGTAATAAACTAGCAATTAAGAAAATACATTTATCTAACTTAAAATGTACCAAGAGTAATCAACATAATATTATGTTATATATAACAAGATATTTACTTTTTGTTTACTATTTAAAGATTATTTTGTACAGATGGTGGTCTAAACATATGAGTTGAAATACACATCTGTTAGTTGAAATGTCACTTTTATTATAACTTTATGTGGCATTTTTATTTTAAACATAAGTATTTACAAAGATAATTTAAAATACAAAAGTATTTGGAAAAAAATTATAAATAAAATGAAGAAGAAATCGACCATCTGTTTGGCAAATTGAATCATATGAAGGTCATTATATTGTCTCATATAATAATATAGGTACTTATGTATATATGATAGGCAGGTGCATTTACAAAATAGTAACATAACACAAATAACTACAGAAACAGAAAGTAACATTTAGTAGAAAATTAAAATAATTATAAATAAAGTTATTGTTCCAATAATAATCAATTGTATGATAAATATTTTCATTCATAAAAGGATTTCTTAGTAATATATATAAAAATTAATAGTATAAAGTATAAAAATTAATAACAAAGAAACCAGTATAAATGTAAAACAAAAATCTGAATCCAAAAGTATGTAATCAAAATTGTTGATGATTGTGAATTTTAAACCAATAAAGATAAAATTAAGTACTCTATATAGACACACAAATAAAATCAAGAGCTGTGCGTCTGATTTCAACAAATCTCAAAACTAACCTTCTTCATGATGCCAGTTTTCCTCTTGGAGAATGTTGTGTATCTGCGCAACTTATTCTCAATGTATTCCATTTTGATTTTTACACGGCCCTTGGTCTTCTTGCCATTCGAAGGTGAAACATCCTTGACGGAAGGTGGCGAAAAGTTGTCGTCAACCAACCGATGGTGGTCGGTTGGTTCATAGCACATGTTAGTGCCAGGGCCCAGTGTTCGCTTGATGCCACGCTGGTGTACAGGACCTCCAGGACCGCATCCCATCATGGGTGGTGTGCGCGACGTGGATGGCCGTTGTTGTTGGCCACCAACGCCATTGTTGTAAATGTCCGACGGGTCCAACAGCGACATGTTCGACGCGTAACCCATGCCGAATCTATTGTCGCGGCCGCCACCGCCAGACGCACTGTCCATCGCTGTCCACCTCATGCACTTGACCGCCTACGACTGGTCATCCACGCACTGCACGCACACGCGACACGGTCAGCACCGGCCGACCGCGACAAACGGCGGGTACAATATGATCTACTTACGATCTTCTTTTTGTCGGAACGGAAGGGACGAACGACTACTTCGGAGTACGGTTAAACGGGAGCAATAATAATAAAAAAATTTAACAAAAATAAAGAAAACAAACGTCACTGATAACAACGGCCGCGGCACTGATAACGGCGGGACACCGGCGGTATGCTGTTGCCACTGCGGTGAAGATACGAACGATTATGCCGTCGCCGTGTTGAATTCCACGGTCGCCCTCCCGCCACAGCACGAGCACGAGTAATTCGACCTGCGTTCGTACAATAATAGAACTAGTGGCGCATGTGCCGCGCGGTTTTTCTATTTTTAAAAAATTAAAAAAATTGTACACAATATTTCCGACGTCGGGCGCGCGGCGTTGCTCCGGGCGGGATCGTAGTAGATTATATAATATTATTATTATATTATTGTTATTAAATACACAGCTTATTTTATGTGGAAATGCGAACACGCGACGAAATCAGCGGACAGCGTTTATTGCCGCAGCACTTTTGGAACAGCCTCCCGCACACAACAACTGCCAGACGAGCACAGAGAAAAAATTGAAAAAAAAATATATATTTTTTTTTTAATATTATATACAAACGATGATGGTGTTGTATTGTAGTATCGCACGACGACGAATTTTCTGTCGTAAAATAATTTTTTATTTATGTCGATAAAAAAAAAAAACGATATAGCGCGCGCTCGTCGAATCGTAACGGTGTGCAGCGCGGGCACAAACTACACGTGTGACACGTCCATGTGTAGACGACGGAATGGCGCAAGACGTGCCTACTATAATACCCACTACACACCACGGTCGTCGTAGAAAACGAGTCGTGTCGTCGGACCGCGGTCGAAGTCGTCGTCGTCGCCGTCGGTCGAACGGTTGTGGTAACGGCGGCGGACGGTCGCGCGCGCTATCGTATAATATTATTATTTTTTTTTTATTATTATTATTATTATTATTATTACATTGTATATTATTTCGTGCTGCCCCCTTCTCCCGGGCCACCGCGACCTCCCCCGCCGCCTCGCTTGCCGTATTTAGAAGAGTTGCCCGAGCCAAATTAGGCAAACTTGACCATATACGGTGCGACTGTAGTACCTCCCCAACGGCGTTAAGATCCACCTTCCGGCGAATAATGCGCTTCCTATATAATAACGCGCGTCCGTTCGCCATATTTTTTTTTCTATAATATTATTATATTATTATTATATTACATAGATACATAGGTTAGGATTGGTTGTTGTTGTTGTTTTTGTTGTTATGATAATTTATTAGTTTGATAATATTTTTAATTTATTATAATATAAATGTAGTTCAGACTATAGTTCTTATACTCGCGCCTACGAGATCCCAGTTTATCAAAACACGAACATTTTTCTAAAGGTACCTACCTACCATAAGTCCAGTGTAAGTGATAATTTTTTCGTTTCTAAACACCGCCGACAGCACTCTGTATGATGCATCGCGACAGAACAGAACGTATAGTTTTGTCTCTTTATACGCCAAGAGCTCTCGATTATTGTACAGATTTGTTGAATTTTTTCATTCTTCCGGTGGTTTGGTCATCGATAACGGTTAAACAGAAAAAAACAATGATATACACCTACGACAATTAATGACAATCATTACTATGTAGTTGTACACAACAGTAATATATTATATATGCGTCAAAGTGTATTATGTAAGAATTGTAAGATGTAGGTAACATTCTGACGTGTCTAAGACCGAAAGAAAAATCTGTGTATAAGTTGTGCCAGACTTTTCACGAAGCCGCGTAGGTATGCTTTATATTAATAGCGAATTTCTAACATGGAATGTTTTAATATACTTTAATATCTTTAAATAAAATTCTAAATTCTGTATAGTTAATACTAAATTGTGTTTTCAATTTAGACTCTGCATATTAATGTTTCATTTTAATATGTTTTAAAACGTTCTTTTTTTTAAATATACATTTTAATGTTTGAATTTTGTTTTATTACATTCGAAATTATATTTTATGTTGATAAAATAGAAAAAACCTACATTTTTAAATGTCCAAATCTTTAGTATTTTAATTATTAGTTACCAAATTTAAAATTGACAAAAATATCATTACTCATTACTCATTAGCTATTAATTATTGTACTGTATCTATAAACTCTAATCAATAGAGCAAATGATTAATCCACTTATAGCAAGGCACAAAAGTACAAAACCCAGTCATATTATATATATTGTATATAATATAGAACAATAATAGTACCTATACAGTATACACTAAACATATTATATTACAATATACAATAAATTTAAAAAAAAAATTATTATTTAAATGTGATGAATAATAATATTTATGCAGATCATCCAATGTGAATTATTGATATTATATACTATAATAAACTCATAATCAAACTTACATAGATACAAGGTGTAACAGAAGTCTGACAAATGAAATTACTTTTGTTCTAATCAAAAGATATTTAAAAAATGTTTATACACAGAATTTATAGATACCTAAAGGTACAGTACACAATATATTGCGATTTTCTTTTTAAATTTTAATTATTACTCATAAAAATTCAAAATAGCTAATTTGTAAAAACCTAATTTTTGGAAAAATGTTGATGGTAAAAACGTTAGTTTAGGTCGAGTAGTTAATTTTTTGTAATTTTTCAAAACATTCTTTTGGGGAATTTTCAGACATAAGTATAAATTGTAAATTATTTATTATTTGCACATAATTTTCATAATTTATTTGTTATAGGTTTAGCTAGTACCCACCTATCAATTTTCAATTTTTAATTTGTTAGGTCTTTCTACAGTTACACACCGCTGTACAGTATTAATGGACGTAACTTTTATAGATTTGAGGGCATAATTCTCACATAAATTTTTTTTTACACGACTTCTCTTTAAATAATAATAAAATAATATAAATACTTTAAAACAAAAATGTATATAGATATACTTTGTATATAGGTTTTTTCCACTGACTATTCTCCCCCTCCCCCCCCCCCAACAACGCAAAAATGATGTATACAGTATATACGCCACTCGTTATAAGTTTATAACCTAACCCATATTATGAGATCTAACTACCTTATAATATAATTACAATGACACAATGTTTTATCTAGGTCACCAATCACTAAAATAATATGTTCTTCGAAAAGAACTGTTAACTAATAAAAATTTAAACAATTAAATAGTCGTAAAACGTTTTCCAGTATAGTGAATGGCACCGAAATCTAAATTCGCGTTAGACATAGACTATATTATAGGACCAATATTGAAGAACAGTCACACAGTCACTACGTAATAATTAATAAATTACTATTACATCAATAGGTACCAGTAATAATGTAATATATTGTGTCATAAAAAAGCATGTGCTGTAAAATTTCGAATAGAAGTGGTTTACAAAAAATGTATCGAAGAGTTTGAATGCACTATAGCCATGATTATGATTATGATTATGATTCTATCTCTATGTAAACTATCACCAAATATTTCACAAGTTACGTCCCTTAAATTTGATTCAAAACTACATAATCTTTAAAAAACAAATCTTGTTAAGAATGATTGACGACTGTACAGTTTTGACATATATATATATGTGTGTGTGTGTGTGTGTGTGTGTGTGTAGAGTATAACAGAAAGATATGACAAATGAAATAACTTGGGTTCTAATCAATATTTAAAATTATTTTTCGTATAATTAATAGATAATTATACTAAATTAATACGTGTAGTATAAGCTATATATTAATTAAACGAAAAAAAAATTAAAAACATTAATTAGAACACAAGTTACTTTATTTATCATATATTTCTGTTACACCCTGTAAATAGGCTCATTTTACCTCTGTTAGAGTGTAAGCAGTAAATAATTATTAACGTTTGCAGTGACATATCATACTTACATTTAAAAAACCAATAACAGCCATTAGCCAATAGTCAATAGATACTCAAAACACATTTTGAATACAGTTCTTACAGTATAGTTAGGTAGTAATAGGTATACTTAGACTGCTTAGAGATTCCCGTTGCGTCTATTTACCACACAAAGACAAGTTTATATATTATTATAATGATAATGCGATATTGTTACAAAGACTTACACAAAGCGCACATATCAAACTCGCACGATCTAATACTATTTTGACTCATCATTATATACCTCACACTAAATTATAACCAAACTATAAATAGGTATATATATTCAAATCATAATCTCTCCTTCGGGCTTGAATACGTCCTCTATACGACTATACATCACTAAACTTTCATTTATTGAAGATAATACAAACAGATAACAATAATATAAAATGAATAACGTGTACAATTATCGACAGTAAACAATTTATTATTGTCATTGAAGTATACATAAAAACTTTATTAAAATTTTATACAAACAAATAGATCAGTATATTATAGAAGTACGACGTGACCAGAAATCACTCAATTTTTACGAAATTAAATCGTAATAATAACAATTAAACAATAGCCATAACTTATAAGCATATGTAGGTATATATATATCTATAAGTGTGATGATAATATTTTGTATTATGTTAAGAAATCACTTGCATATTTGTCTACTTTATACAAACAACGTTAAGTTAATAAACAAATGTCTACACAGGTACTTCATAAAACTATAATATAAAATATATATTCTAAATTAGTATTGTGTTATTTTACCATATAAAGTATTAACTAAATATAATGTTTATATTATGATTAGGAAGTTTATTATTTTGCATGCGTTTTTAGGTTGCCCTATTCACAATTGAATGCATTATTATTCATTAGATATTAATTTGTTTCATGATGCCTAGATTTAAATATCAAAATTTTATTTTGCACATTTTTGCATATTTTCCGAAATTTAACATATAACAATATATTATTTGATCTTTTTTTGTTGTATTAATTACTAACTTTGTGGTTTTTGATACAAAATATCGACAAAAACAGGTAGGTAACTAAAGTGGAATCTAAGTTTGTATATCTGTATTTTATATAATATAGATTATATGAAAATAGTTGCTTATTTATAGTTTGGAATTCTATATTGCCATTCGCAGATATAATGCGGATACACAGTTGAACATTTAAAACAAGCTAACGTTGTTCAACGCAAATAAGAAATGTATATGTAATTTATATGCACTTTTAATTGTAATTTGTAATTAATAATTATACACAGGGTGATTCACCAAGAATGCGGCCATCCCCTTTTTTCTTCAATAATGCAGTTATTTAAAATTTTCTTAGAGAGCACATTTTAATATTCTTGAGATTTTTGTACTACTTAATAGGAGTTTCTCGTATTTTTTTATTATTTCATGCATATTTTAATATTTAACTATTTTTTAGTGCATAAACGTCCGAATCCTAATTATGATAAATGTTAATTATATGTATTGAAGCGTTTGGTATTTAAATCAAAACTTGATCCAAGTTAACCGTCGTCGTCATATTTAATTTTAGTATATTAAAGTAATGTATAATAATTAAGTTAAATTTATTAAGCCATGATCCATTCAATTAATACTTTATGGTATATAAATATATAATTACTGTAAAATTTTGCTATTGCATTAAAAAAAAATCCTAAATTAAAATGTATTGAAGTGCTGATTTGTTGATAAGTTTGAAACGCGTAATTGCTTATACGTGGTATCATTATATTATATCATGAACATTGAACATCTGAAGTGGAAAAAAACAAAATATTTTAAGACCGTCAAAATATGATGTGTGTGTAATTTTGGCATAAACTTAAAAAACACAAATTAAAAATAACAGATAGTGAATATTTGGAATAAATAAGTTAGTACGCCTCACAAAACAAAAACAATAATTACGACGGTTAAAATATTATGATTT